TTTTTTTTAATTGCAAACATTTAGGAATCTAACCACACATTCTAAAACACTATTTCTAAAAATATTTGGGGTGGGGAAAACATTCTCGCTTGACCGAAATGTTAACAACTTACTCGTATAATCATACCTAAATATATATGATTGTGAAAATAAACTCCTAAGTTTATAGTTCTTATAAAACTATGAAGTCAAGATAAATATGTAAGTTAAATTCTTACAAAACTACTATAGTAGCACTCTTTCAACATAGTTCCATTTGAAATAGGGTATTATTTTTCTAAAATAAAATGACTGCTTTTTGTGTATAAAAGAAAGATACAGCTTCAGGTCTGGTGCTTAACTTTTTCTGTATTTTAAGATATATACTACAATATAATTTAATTACAGAAAAAGTTTATTATTTTATAAAAGCTTGCTTATAAAATGATATCAATAATTTCCAGGTTTATTGATCCAGCATAATCAGATTTTATATTTAAGTAAGACTCTGCCAATACATATTCTTTGAACACTAATTATAATGAGATCTCATCAGTGACTCTTTAAAGCATTTTTCACTTGAATATTAGCATACAGCAGTTATTTAAATCTCACTGAATGAGCATCAAATCAAGCACTGCTAAAATCATGACGAAAAATAAAATCAACATTAAAGATATACTACATTCTATAAATAATGATAGCAAGTTGTTTTACATTAAGACAAAATCCCCAAAATATAAACCATCAATATATGAATATAATATTCTTAGAATTTAAGAAGCCTCTACTACCATATGTGACTCAACTCACATTTTATTCTGTTCAAATCCCTGCAAAACCTCCATCACACAACAAAGCATATGGTAATTTGGGACTCTCCCAGCAAAAGAACTAAAAGAAAGTGTGGGGCAATGAATATACAAATGTGTTTTACACAATTGATGTATGTATGGATTGTGATAAGAGCCCCTAATAAAATGATTTTTAAAAAAAGAAAGTGTAAACACTGAAACTGTATGTCAAGTTCATTTATACAATGAGTATTTACATAAATGGTTTCTACATTTTAAAGTTAAGCAGTCCATCATCAGAACAAAAAATCTTACCATAGTGAATGATGGGGGGAGTGCGGAGTGGAGACCCAAAGCC